CATAATACAAATTGATATTTAAACTCAAATATATGATGTGATTATAGGATGTACCAGGACCACCATATCATTTGGAATTCAAGGATATTACCATGACCAGTTTGCGCGTTTCTTGGAAGCCACCGAAGTTACGCAATGGCGAGATAGTTGGTTACATCGTTACATATGAGACGGCAGAGCAAAATGACCGTAAGATTAATCAATATCCCAACAAAAAGATTGCAATATTCGTAAAAATAATTTAATTTTCGATGTATTCTTCCGTAAATTTTCACTAATTTTTTTATTGTATCATTAAGACATTTAATATTTCATTTTAATTAATACCAACATAATGCCTACAATATAATTTTGATATTATTTTAAATTTTACGACGAAAATTCATACATATGGTAGTCACTTCATAAAAATATGTGAAAGAATACAGAAATATGTAAATATCTATTTTTTTACTAATTTGTCGATGCACTATTAAGGTTTCAGTAAACAAGTTAAGCAAAAAGTGACGGAAACGAGCCTCTTTATCCAGCCACTGGAAGAAGAAGTGACGTATACCTTCATGGTTCGCGCGCAGACGATCGACTTCGGACCACCGATATCCGGCAATGTTACAACTGGTCCGCAGGAAGGTTCGCCGATGGCACCCAGCAATCTTGCCGTAACTAAAACGGTCTCCAGTGTGGAATTACAATGGACCAACGGGGCTTCCGGCAAAGGTCCTATACTCGGTTATTACATCGAGACTCGTCGTAAAGGTAAATACAAAATCTACATGCAATTATCATTATCTCGCTACGTATTTATATAACAAGAGTCGAAAGAATCTGTTATATAGGGTCCTATTCAAAATTTCCAACCGTTTTACACGACCGTTTATCGAAGTTGCAACGGCAGAAAATTATAATATATAAGAAATACAAACTAACACTAATTTCTTTTATTAGAACTATTTTATAAAATAAATTGAGAAATCGTGAGTATTTGTTAGTGATGCAATTTTATAAAACTGAAATATACAATTGATCTTTCGAAATGATCTTTTTACAAAATAAATTCTGGTTAACTTGTTATATTATTTCTCATACATTTGCGTCCAACTCCAAACTGTCGGTTCTGCTAATACTAATACCGTCTTTTTCATAACTGTATAGCGGTGGAAGAATGGCAGCATTGTAAGTGTCAACGCACGTATGCTGAGCGTCAGTCATTGCATTAGATGGTTTTGATAGTGAGATCCCTGTTAGCGTAATAATATCGCTTTTGACAATCCGTTGTACATTACTATATGTGTATACATTTATTATACATGTGATCGTTTGGTCCCAATTCCCAATAATTTGCATGATAACGTCATAGCATGTTATCGCCAGAGACCCATCTTAGACGTTCAAGCAGGATTTTACTGAGATTATATTAACTTTGTACAGTGCTAACATATCGAGTATACTATCCTGACAAAGAAACGATCAAATGATTGATCGTTATATTAGCGTGACGATTTGTTGTATTGCCCGTTAACGCCGCAATTTTCGTTATTTAGCCTCCCTTAATGATCTCATTTTTAACACTTTGCGTGCAAATGTAAATCAAATATGTGGTATTCCATTATCATATAATAATAAAATACAATTCTGAGAAAAAGAAAATAATTTTTCAAAGATTTTCTTGCAAAGTACAGCTAGCACTCAAAGTGTTAAATTAGTTATCAAAATAATATGAATTTTTATCTTTTTATTATATGCAATGTCTCATTTTTATCGCATTATTTTTTAATGACATTTTTTGGCTAATTTAAGAACAATTCTTTTAAGAAAAATATTAGGATTAAATTCTGCAATTAACGATTGAAGAGGATGGAGGATTTCTGGCAAATTAAGTCTCGGAAGAAAAAGTAAATAACAAAATAATGTTTATACATTAATGTTTATACATTTAATCAAGATACATATTGAATTTTTTTATCTTAATAAATAAATTATAAATTTTGATTTTTTACTAATAGAATCTGAATTTTGTGTTAATTGTAGAAATATACGATATTGAAATTTAATATTTTCGAACAAAAGTCGATTCTAAATTGATAGAAAGAATATGCTACTGAAAAATAATATCGTACAAAATGATACATTCTGTATAAAAGATTTACTTATATACATACATACATACATACATACACATACACACACACACACACACACACACACACACACACATACGCATCTAAACAAAATAATTTTCTTCTCCTTTAAGAAACGTGCTGAGTCAAAGATTATAACGCAATTATATATAATTGTAGACGATTCACGCTGGCAGACAATAATTCGTACTAGTAATGGACCACTAACGGAGTATACTGTATCTTATCAAAATTTACTGCCATCCACATCGTATTTGTTCAGAGTAATATCATATAACCGTTATGGGATCAGTTATCCAGCGAATTCCACCGAAACGGTAAGAAAATTCAAAGGAAAATATTTGGACATTTATATATTCATTATTAGTTATCTATTTGAAAACAATTTATCACGAATTAGCATATTTGTATTAACTATGGAATTGTTTTATCAGATTTTGACACCATCGAAACTATATCTGGAATATGCATATCTGCAACACAGGCCATTTTACAGACAGACCTGGTTCATGGTTACTTTAGCTGCTACATCAATTATAATTATTATTATGGTCATAGCAGTATTATGTGTGAAGAGTAAAAGTTACAAATATAAGCGTAAGTTCAGTTTAATATACATATGTATATAAAATGATTTTAAATTATGAAAAATTATTGAATGAATGAATGAATGATTTATTGATCCCATTGGGGTTACAAGCTGTTAACATTTCATTATTTACAATATTTACATTAATTACACCGCTTTTTCTTATCCTATCCGCTTTATTCTACTTCTCTCTCCGTGTCTCACCTCGCCTATCCTATCTACCTATCCAGCCTACTGCTCCTCTCTCTCCCTCTCTCTCCCGCAACCCTATTTATCCTACGGACTTCCGTCCCCGTTTACAATTTTTACTTTCCTCTTTCACTCTCACGCACATTCTCTCATCCATCCCTTCACCTCTGTCTCTCTCTCTCT